TGATATTTAGGGTCCTATGCTAGAAATAATTTACCAGCAAAAAAATTTTTTTCAGAATCCAGTGTATTTCTGTGATTGTCCCTTGCCCTGCTCTGAAAGAAAAGATGCGTAAAGTTTGACTATAAAAAAAGTCTGCAGTTAAAAACTGAGTTGAGATAAGTTTTATCTGGAAGGCCAAGTTTTCTTTATATTGGGAGCCCAAACTGAATTCAGAATAGTGTTATGATTGTGCAAGTAACACCTATCTCTTCTATAAAGCTTTTTATTGTTGGCTCTTACACATACTTTACGATAAGAGAAAGTAACCATTACCTTTATGTCTCATGGTGGGGGAAAAAGAAGGCAAAAAGCTTGTTTTAAACATGTGAAAAGGAGCAGAACTCTGGGACTGCTGTAATGGCAGAAGGCAGTAGGGTGTCTAAATTAGTTACTGATTTTCTTGAGGGAAGACTAGTACCTGAATCTTTTGATTAGGTTATTTCTTAGGAAATACCGAGTGGGTGAAAATGAAGGAGAGGGGAATGGAAAGAATTAAATCTTTATATATAATATATGTAATCTTAATTCAGCCTGTCTTTTGAGTGTTTGACACTATAGTCTTAAAGGTATTTTTTATCTTGTCTACTGAATGTAAATACAACATAAAAGAAGTGTTGACCTTCATTGATTTAAAGGTAAAATATTCTCATAGGGTGTATTGTATTGAGAGAGAAGTATTTGAATAATGACTGACTTTACTCCTTTTGTAGTTATTTTAGATTTTAATCTCTCCCTGTCCAGCATTCCTAATGTAGTTAGGATATTTTTAAGAGGAGAAGCCTTTGGTTTGTCTAATCTTGAAAGTGATGGTAAATGGGACTCAGGTGAGAGAAAGTTACTGGCCAAGGTGCAGAAGAATCCTTTTCTCAAACTTGTTAATTTTATTTGCAGTGAATAAGGACAGAAATTGCATACAGCTTGTGTGCAAAGCCACTGCATCTACAGTTGTCTGTATTTTAAAATCCACTTCTGAAGCCATGGTACTTGCAAAGTTCAAACAATTTTGTTTAATGCTTAACTCACGCTCCTCCAACTGATGTTTCAGAGACTTTCTGTTTTCTCAGTAAACCTTTTTTTTTGTTGTTTCTCTGTAGGATTAGTAAAGGCTTGCATCATAATACACATGCCACTAATATAAAATGTCAACTCTTGAATGCAGTTGTTTGTTAGGAAGACCCCAGTGGGTACAGAAGTAGTAGCACTGATCCTTGACAGGATCAAGTTTGCTTATGAGATAAGCACAGAAATTCTTCTTCAAACCATTGTGTTCTGAAAGTTTTTCTGAATTTTCCTTTGTATGAACTTTCTTTGGACTGTAATTTAGAAGCACCATAAATCAGGAAGTCCAAGTGACTTTTCTCATATCCTCATCATGCTGTGATGAAAAAAATTGGTAGCAGCCATTGTTTATAAATCTTCGGTTAGTTGTAATGCTGAAGAGTTCTGGTAGTTACTCAGCAAACCTCATGGACAGTGTTCCTGCTAAGTGTGCGAGCTGAATAGTGTTGTAAACTACTTTCTGACCTTGCCTTAATATGTATAAATTTGTGTTATCTTTTTCACTTTTTTTAAAACTCCTTATTGGTACATCCGTGCTAGACTGAAAAAAGTAGTTAATTACTTGAAATGTGAGGTTAGTACAGTGCCATGTGTAATACAGACAAGACCATTTTTACAGCTCTGAATGTCATGAATGCAATTCTTAATTTAAATGAGCTCTCTTTAGCAGTTACTGTATAGATGCAATAACTGTGCATATGTGTGCACTTCAGATACAACTTCTGGAATATCCTGGACAGCCTTTTGTTTCATCTCTTCTACTCTTATTTATGCTTTTCTGTATATAACTGGATTTGGGTAATTTTTCCCCCTTTTTCAAATGTAGACTTATGCAGAATTTGAGCAGTCTTTAAAATTCATCTGTATTGATTAAAACATCTAAGCTTTAATTTTGGAGTACCTTCGATCTCTTTAAAGCAGTAATTTAAGCCCTGGGGGAATCTTCTCAGTGTCCTTTGAGACTGATAAGTTTAGCACTCTACTTTCATGGTTTGGAGCATCTTTCATGTGAGGAAAGTCTGAGAGAGCTGGGGCTGTTCAGCCTGGAGAAGAAAAGGCTCAGGGAGATCTTTTCAATGTGTATAAACACTTGACAGGAGGGAATGAAGATGGGGGAGCCAGGCTTTTTACCGTGGTGCCCAGTGACAAGGCCAGAGGTAACAGGCACAAACTGAAACACAGGAGGTTTCCTCTGAACACTAGGAAACACTTCTTTACTGTGAGAATGACCGAGCACTGGCACAGGTTGCCTAGAGAGGTTGTAGAGTTTCCATCCTTGGAGATACTCAAAAGCTGCCTTGATACAGTCCTGGGCAACAGGCTCTAGGTGACCCTGCTTGAGCAGGGTGGTTGGACCGGATAATGTCCAGAGGTCCCTTCCCAACCTCAGCCATTCTGCAATTCTGTCTATGTGCCTTGGGGTCTAACTCTGTTCTGTCACTGAGACCTCCCTTCCCTACCCTCTTTCCAAAGTTGTGGAATCTTTGTTTAAGAGTTTGCCCCATGAGTGTGGCCAAAATAAAGTTCCTTTTTTTTTCTTTTTTTTTTTTTCTTTCCTGCCTCACGAACGTATCCTTTCTGGATACATTTCATTAGTTATACATGTCAATTGTGAAAAGTTTCGGGAACTTCGGAAGTGAAAAAGAAAAAAAATTGTAGTTTGTGTGTGTTTCAAATATGCGTGTATGAATGTTGCATATATCTATGTATAATATACATATTCTATAGGAGTCCAGTATCAAATCCCTTAATCATAATGCTTTGATTACAGTAATAGTAGTCCTTGTACCCTTACCTTGTCTTGTGGCCTATTTTATTCACTTTTTTTTTCTTTTTTGTATGTCTGATGTGCTTTGTCTTGCAGAGTGGAAGAATCCAGGGATTTCAAGCTTTGAATGACGAGCGTCTTACAAGATTACCACAGCTAAACTGAAACGGCAGATGCAGCTCTGAGTCCCAGATTGAAGGAGCTGGTCTGTGCAGTGCATGTACATGAAAATGCACATGTTTGTGTCATCACATAGACTTACTCTTGCATATTCTCGGGAGCTTTGCAATTGATGAAAATTCATTTGAGAACCAGATGGAGCACCTTTACAGCACAGGAATCAGTAATCCATGGAAAGACACCTGCCAGTAATGTTCAACTTTCCACATGGTCTTCACGGGTGAAAAAAGTTTGCAAGAAGAGGAAGAAAAAACAGCCTCTGCACAGAAAAAGCCTAATAAATACCTCCACAATCTAAATCAGTAGCTGTGAGGGAAACAGAAGAATACAGAGGGTAGAGGAAACTGATTTTGTTATTGCAGAGGAATAATGTATGGTCTTTGGCACATTTTGCTTAGGGCTCACTAGGTTGTGAATGGACTAATAAGTCGTGACCATTTGTTGAGTAATGATGACTGGAAGTAAATAAGTTGAGGAACTATGGGACAAGCCTGGGCATTGAACTGAGCAAACCTCGTCGTCCTCCTTGAGTTAACCAGATCATCAAACTTGCATACTCTTTTCTCCCTCTCCTTTTTCCTCTTTTCACTTAGTGTGGTATCAATACTAATTAATTGAGCTCATAAATGTTATTCAAATAAAACAATTGGAATACGTCATATGTTTCCTTCTTGTACAGCTGCAAATGTGTCTGGAACTATGAATCTGTGCTGTAGACAAGCATCAAGAAGGAAAAATCCGATCAAACAAGCAAGGAAAATACCTAGAGAAATAGCGAACCCAGGAAGTCAGATTTTTAATGCTGCTTCTCTTTCTTTTTTAGATGATTATATTTCTTCCTTCCTTGAATTTTAGAAGATTTTGAAAGAGTGCTTACTTGATGTGCTTTAATTCTGGCATTTGTTTTTTACAGTAGGATGAAAAGTCTGTGATTCCTTGTAGCAGAAAAAAGGGAAAAGTAAAGGAAAAACAGCTTGACATTTTAGTCTGTTTTGGAGGAGAGAGAACTTCATGGTTCACCTGAGGCAAACTTACCTGCTTTGAAAGCTAAAAGCTTTAGAGCATTTTTGATTCTGCTATAAATGAAGAGGGGTTTCTTTTTCATTCGTGTGTGGCAGCAAAAAGTGGGAAAGCAGGCAAGATAGCGTGATAAACAGTTCAGGCTGTGTTGGGTCTCTGGTGGAAAAAAAGTGCTGCAATGAAAATTGGATTGGCTTTGGATTGCAAAAACTTTTGAGTCCAACAAGTGGTTCAGTACCAAGAGGGATTTCCCAACTGGCCTGGCACACCAGTGCCTGCACAAGTTCGGGTCTGTTGTTTCGCACGGTTTGTGTGCCTTTTTTTCCCTTTATGCAATCTCTTTCAGCTTTAGCAGCAGAAATACATCAGATGGAAAAGATATGCCAGAGGGCAGCTTGGAAAAGATGAATGTCATATATATACACATATATGTATGTGCGTGTATTTAAATTTCTGCAACTGAACTTTTGAAGAAAATCTGACTGGAGGAATTCTTAAAAGCCTTAAGTTACTTGAAACCTACACGTTTGCAACTCTTTGTCTCTGGAATTGCATTACGCTAAACTGGAATCTCAGGCTGTATAAAGATTATATCAAGTTGAGCAAAAAGATGACTTAACCATTTCTTGAGCGCCTCTTATGAAGTAGCTGTTTCTCCAAAGGATAAGTGCACCCTCACTCTACAGACTCAAAAACAAAAATGAACCTGAATTTTTTTTTTAAGTCTTACTTTTTCTTAGCCAACTGCCATCATCTTTTATAGAGGAATTTTTCACTATGCATTTGGTGGATATTTATAAACACTGACCCTATCCTCCTCCCTTTCAATGATCTATCCCAGGTCAGTCTTATCAATAAAAAAAAAAAAAAGATTTAAATTTTGTGCACTAGACATATTACTTTCTTATGTCAAAAAATAAAATATTTAAAAAGCATGTATGCAGCAGTGGAACATGGGCCTGTTCTTTGCAGCGATTCCAACATCCTCTGCCTCTCCTGGAAAGGGAGAGTCCCCAAAAGTGAGAAGGAGAAACCGGTATGCAGGAGGCGGTACTATGAGGAAGGCTGGTTGGCAACAGGCAATGGCAGAGGAGTTGTAGGCGTCACTTTTACTTCCAGCCATTGCAGGAGGGACCGGAACACCCCTCAGAGAATCAACTTCAATTTGAGGGGCCACAACAGTGAGGTAAGCAAAATGTGTGTTATACTTTAAAGGAACCAATAGCAATCTATTTTTTGGGGTAGTATTTCTGCTTGAAATTTGACAGGGTGGTATGAAGGAGACTCAAGATTAATCCAAATGTGATTGGGATCTATTGGAGTCTTTCTAGTAAATGCAAGCGCATGAGGCTGGTGGTGGGGAGGTTCTCTGGAAATGGGTCTGGTCTTGGTTTGGCCTGTTTTCTCCTTCATTCCCCAGTGCCTCCCAGTTTCCAGGCAAATACAATAAATGTGTGTTAAGGGAGTTAAAAGTTGTGATAGTTGACTGCTTTTACACAGTATTAAAGTCTGGCTTGGAGGACTAATGGAAAGGCAGGGGAGTAGGAGAGGAGCTCAGGTGCAGTCTGCCAGTTTTCTGGAAGCTGCAAACTGGAATGGCCTGTGGCAGGGAATCATTGGGATATCAAGGGGTAGCTGTCATCTCTAGAAAAACTTTTTTGTTAGAAAAAGAGGCAAGTGAGACTTCTCTGAAAAATGTTAAGATGCCCTGTAGTAAAATACTGTAACTTCAGAGTGCGAGGCATTGTCCTGAATACAATGATACAAAAACTTTTCCGTTTGTTTTTTCTGAAATGGATAAATCTGTTGGTAAAAGCTGATATTTCAGCTGTGCTTTACTGTCTTGCTGGCACCTATCTCTTTCTCTGCATAATGCTTCACGGAGAATGCGGGTGATGCCCAGTAGTATATGGAGTGTCTTGGACAGATGCGAGGACTTTGTTCCTGCTTTTTAGTTGGGCTGTGCTTGAATGTGCTCTTTGAAAAGAATCTGTCCAAATCAAAGCTTTGCTCTTAGCTTAGTGGGTAGAATGATGTTGTATGTACTTGCATTAAAATCAAAGATACAATGTGGATTTTCTTGTCTTTTGTGCTGTTTACTTGTTGGACTCTAATATGTGTTGCCCTTTTGTCATAAGCTACACCAAAGATTTAGAGGTGGGTGGTTTTGATTCTTCTGTTAACATTAATAACAATCCTCTTTTTTAAGGAAAAAAGGGAGCAGGGGATAAATATTTAGTCTTAAATAATTGCTTGCACATGCTTTGTCTATATGCAAATGTGTGGGTGTATTATAAGTTTTATAGACTTTTATAGATGACATATTCATGCATACGTTTGTATCAATTTCAGTCAAAAAATTACAGCCACTTTTTCCCAAAGGGAAGAACGATGTTTGAATCCAGCATTTTGTTTTGAGCCATCTCTAGTTGTCAGAATAATTTTCAATTGCTAACTGCATTTTATTTTTGAAATGTGTGATACAAAGATCACTTTTCATTTCTCCATATTTTCTTCTCTAACTTTTCTGTGAACATGGGCACCTGTTTTTCTCCTTTTTGCATAATGTGTGTCTTGGAAACAATGGAGGAAGCGCTGTTTATGGGAATGTGAAGTCTCGTTGCAGAGTGCGGAAATACGAGACTAGGTTTAAGTATGAGCTGATTAAGTGGAAAAGATATTGGTGTGCATGCTGCCCTTTGGTTTGGGCAAGTGTTGCATTGTTTACTCAGTTGGCTATTAGATTCTCTTTCTGGGTCACTGCATCCTTGCTGCGTGGATTGAGCTGTGATGTTTGCGTATCCTTTCACCTAGCAGTGATTGGCACATGAGAGAGACTCAATTTGAATTCTTGGGGGGGGGGGCTGGCGGCAGCAGTGCTTAAAATGTGCTAGGTCAAGCTTGTCATTAATAGAGAACTGTGTTTCTGTAAATAATCTTACTGATAGCACAAAATGTGTGGATGACCAGAATAGAGACTACCAATTCATTTCTCTGCCTGGCACTACAAAACTGGTATGGTGCGGTCAAAAATGTGTTGTACTAAAGGAAGAAGAGAAGTGGCTTTAGTGCAGCTAGCTTTCTGTGATGAGTCTGTGGCTGCTGTCAGGTTTTTCTCCTGGCATATTTTTTTTTAGCATTGGTGTAGATGAAAGTTCATCCTTACAAGGTGATGTTATACAACACTCTTCACCAGGCTTACTGAATGTAATCCTTTTATAGGAGAATCCTACTGATTTTGGTAGGAATGAAATGAATACAGGATTTGTTAGTTGTTAAAGGTACGTAGTTGGATGGACAACAGGATTTTTTTCTTGGAAAACACCTTTCCTTCTAAATCTGTTTGTTGAAAGATTCTATAAGAGAAAGAAAATGCTGAACAGCACCAGTTATCGCTAATATTTGCATAAGAAATATAGCAAGCGGTTTGTTTTCCCATTCTCATGTTAAAAAACAAGCCAGCAACATTGTCTCTTCTGTGTACCACGTTACACAATGAAAAATGCTAATTTTGCAAGCATATCCTGGCATATGTGTCTGATTAAAGCTACATTTTTTGTACAGAATGTGCCCAAAGGGATGTAATTGACTTAAAACTTTGAGAGCCTCTGTGTTTCACTGACCAATTCTATGACTGTATTGTGTTGTCTTGTTCCCAGAAATGGTGATTTATACCTCTATATGTCTTTCTCTGGGGTAAAGCTACTGTGACAAGTCAGGTTTATTGCTTTTCTGACATACATTGCTGTTTTAATATTAGTATGAAGTCAATTATAAAGTGTGAAATGCTGTAATGAACTGAGTGAAAGAGATGAAAATACAGAAGCTAAATGCTTTCCATTTGGGGTATAATTAGCAATATGCTGTGGGCAGAGCAGTACATTGTATTTCAGTTTTAGGGTGAAAATCTGAAAGAGGTAATGCAGCAGTGCTGTGCTTTTGGCAAGAATGTGAGACTATTTTTAAGTGGGTCATAAAGGTGGATGCTAGCGATGTGTTTTTGTAATGTTTTTATGGTTGCTGAAGAGATTCACTGAAACCTTCTTTTGGTACACAGCTCCTTTTTTGACTGTAATAGCATGCCTGTAGCATATCAGGACAAGAATGAAGAATCCCCAGGACTGAATTACTGACACACATATTGCCGTGGTGGACTTGCATGACTCATCGCAATGAACAATAATTGAGAATGAAATGCTTTGTGGCATGAGCCACATGTGTGCTTTTACAGTTGCTTCAAGGTTGGTTTTTAGCATTTGCAATTACGAAGTGGCTGCCATATTATTTTAATTAACAACCTATTTTTTTGGTAGTTTCTAAGGAAAACTACAGGGATTAAGATAAGCATGTTCCATTTATTCTGGCAAGAGACGAAAATACTGTATTTGGTGATAGGTCTGTTTTTTAACTTCGGCATTGCATTTACAGTCCTGAATCTCATTTATGTAAGGCTTAGCATTCTAAAAATGAGAATTTAAATGGGCACATTTCAAAGGCACAAGCATCTTTGATGCAGAAAGAAGGGGAAAGGTATGTTGTGCAGCAGTTGTGCAGCTATGACGTGTTTCACATGTCATAGGAACACCTTGCATCTCTGACCATGGGATGGGAGGTGTTTCTGGTGAGGGTAGGTAGTGAGTGGAGCAGATGTGAATGACTGCATGGTTTGGTTTGGCTTTGGAGCATTTCCCTTGGCCTGGGAGAACAAACTGACGGAGGCTGGTGTTCAGTGGGTTTGTTTTTTAAGTCTGGCAGAAAGGTTAGAAGACAGGGTGGTATGCCATTGTACCACAGTGTGTGAACTAGCAGCCAGGGAGCAGAGATGCAGTGGCCTAAAATCCGTTCCTCTCCCCTGCATGTGTAAATGCAATGCTGTGCAGAAATTAAAGAGTGAAATTTAGACGTCTTTTGATTTTGACCTAACTTGCCTTTCCTTGGCTGCGCTGGGAAACAGTGTTAGAAAAGTAACTGAGCACATTTCTTTTCTGACTCTTATTACTTCTGTGATAAATTAAGGATTAAATGAAAAATATCTGGTCACTTCAGCAAGGTGTTTCAGCCGGTGTGACTAGTAGGCTCTGAAGCATGCCGGGCTGAATATTTTTTTATAATACCATGGAGACACTGGCTTTCAGCTTCTGGTCCATCCTGAGGTTTCTGGGGAGAGATTTTCAAGGGGATCTGTGAAGGATAATGAGAAAAAAAGCCCAAACTTGTCCTTAGCGTGCTTCAATTAGCCTTTCAGGGATCTTCCTTTCCAGTGAAAGATTTACAGGATGTCTGCAAATCGAATTGATTGGATGGTGCTGCTGTAGGCATTTCTTTTAATGGGTTCTGTTGTGTCTAGTGTGTTAAGATGGTAACAGTTTCTATGGCACTTAATGTTTCTTAAATTATTAGTGTTTCAAAAATTTTTTTTGCAGGTGTATATTTTTCTTTTCACTATGCTAACTTTTTAAGACACCTTTGATATATTTAATAAGATTCAGTATGCTAATTGCTGGACTGAAGCATTAAAAAGTAGTGCAAAAGTATGCAAATTCTGATGCAGTGAATTAAGTAACATGCTGAATACATTATTGAGTATGCATAGTATTTTTTTACTGTAAACATAAAGAAAAATTAGCATTTATTTACATTTGACATTGAGTGCCCTAAGTGCATGACTACAGCTGCAAAAACCACCCTGTTTTGTTTAGCACAGTATTTAGATGTAGATAGGGACATAAGCATATCTCAGCTGGACTGTCAAATGAATTATTTTTAGTTTACGGCTTTTCAAAGGAATGCTGTCCTTCAAAAATACTCAACAAATGTTGCTTTTCATACTACGTTAGTTATGGAAGTCTCTGCACAGTTCTTGGGTTTGTTTTATTTGAGTGGAAGGAGGTTACAGATAATTTTTCCTGCTTTAAAAAGAAAGATTTCTTTATTTTGTCTACCTTTTGGGTCCTGTATGTGAAAGTTCTGAGCAATTCTGGCAGAGCAGATTCTTTCCAGAAGTCTATTGCTTGCACAGAAAATCAATTTCAAAAAACAAACAAACTTTTTCAGTAGTGTTTCCTGGTTTGTAGTGTCACGGGGCAGGGGGAGAATTTTTTTTTTAAACTTTGTCTGTTTTAATTCTAACTGTCCTTTGGACCTTAAATGTGATTTTTAGTCAGCATGTGAGTTGACAGCATGACA